TTACTCACTTGAGAGGGGGTGGGGTGGGGGAAGGTATGTAAAGCCTCTGGGGACAGGAGTAAATTCCTAAGATGACCAGGATGGAAGGGCAGAGCCAAGTTCAGAGGAAAGAGAGGTAGGGGTCAGGTGAATTAGACCTGTCAGAGGCGGTTTCAAAAGGGAGCTGGGCAGGCGGGCCATCTGATTGGCAGCGAGGGTGGCCTGCACAGAGGTGCGGGCAGGGCTGGTAAGGGAGCCTCTGGAGCCCATTGCAGGCGGGGATGAATGAAGACAGTTGCAAGGTCAGAAAGGCCTGGAAAACCAGACTCGGGAACGTGAACTTGATTTTGTAAGCAATCCAGAGACGCTTTAAGACAGAATTCTGGAAATGCAAACTCTGTGTTGTACAGAGTGCACAGGCTGAAAGGGAGCACATTAACAAATGCAATCCAGCACCAGAAACATACCTGGGAAAGCTCTAAGGCCGACCTTTCCCTGCGCCTGTGAGTGCTGGGATTCACTCACCACCACAGCGCCCGTGCCTCTTGTCTCAGTTACAATAACTAAACTCTTATTATTACTCACCCACCTACCCCGTGCCAAGAGATGTAAATCTTATCTTGAATTCCATGCAAGGTCAACACGATTATGCCCACTTACAGACCAGTGAAACCAAGGCCAGGAAGGTCAGGTGACCTGGCCATGCTCCCACAGGGGGGAGAGGTAAAGGGGGCTCCCAAAGGCCACATCTTTTCTCCTTTTGGGATGGGGTGCTTTTCCCTCCACCCAGGGGCCTTTGGCATGAGGAAGTCTTGCCAAGATTAATCTAGACCTCACGTGTTACTCATTCTTGAAATGTTCCCTGCAAATTAATGACATGAAAATGTTACGAAGCAATTACCCTGAAAGCAAGATTTTGAAAACCCATTAACCAAAAGGTAGCCTCGCCTACAAATCTCAACAGAAGAGCACCTCCCAGGCTCGTGTCCTTACAGGTGACCCCACTTAAAGCCAGCAGAGCCGGAAAAGCAAACACTCTGCTTGCTCCCTTCAGCGCTCTGGTTGATATGAAGGCCCTGCCCAGGCTGGTTTGTGCCTGATTTTGTAGAGGCCACATGATGGGCGGGGAGCAGCCCTTCCCGCAGCCCTGGCCAGGGAGATCAGGGCTCCCTGCTGGCAACAACTGTCTTGCTTGCAGCTGCTCCCGGGGCTTTGCTGTTCCCAATGTGACAGGGGCCAAAAAATGTACTTGATAATAGAAATCATTGAGGGTGCGCAAAAAAGGCAAGACACTGTAACTCCACTGTGAGAAAAGGCACACGCTCTGGTTCTATTATACAGTCGTCAAGAGGGTGGGCTTCCGGATTTGGTGAGGCAAGGCAGTCCTCAGCACTTCCCTTTTGCCTGGGAGAGGTGATTTGAGGGGAGGGAAGGAGCTGCCAAAAATAACAGTCTTCATTTTTTTTTTAACCAAAACAAGAAATATCAATAAGCTCTAAAACCAAACAAAATAAAATGCTATGAAAAAATAGGCTCAAACACTCTTAGCACCTTAAAAAGCTCGTTAAACAACCCCAGGTAACAACCAAACCCAAACTGAGTGTTCAGGAGGAAAAAGGCGTTTCCACTGAGACTCTTGCGAGTTGAGTTTGTTCCACCCTGGAGTGAACCAGGCTGTAAGAAATACATAGTGGAAAACATTCTAGTTGTACCTAACAAGTTATCCCTTAAAACATTCATACCTGCTTCCTGTATCTGGATGTCTCAGTATATTTGTGTACATTTTACATATTTATTCTGAAAAACCAAAGCGTTTGTATGTCCCATTAATAATCCTCAAAAGAGCTTTTGCTTGAACAGCCATTGTGCCACTCCTATTCCTAGAATGGAAAACAGAAAAGTCAAGCTCATGTATGAGTTCAACTGGTAGGTGCTTACTGGCCTTCCAGTGTTCTCAGCGCTGTACTTGGCCCTGGGGACATGGAAACAGCGTCCACTTCAAAATATCAACAACACATTTGCACAGTAGTCTGGCCACTGTGCTGGTTGAGACTTCTCTGCTATTTTTTTTAATTGCTTTGATTACAGCATAGCAAGACCTAGTTGCTGCCTAAAGTAAGCTTTTTAACAACTTACTTCCAAATGCTAAAGAAAACACACCTAGTTTTCCCAGAAGTGTACACACAATTTACTTGAGAGTGGCCATAAATATCTAAAGGCAGATCATGAAGAAACAAACTCTATTAGGGAGTGTGGGGTGCTCAGTTTCTCCAATCCCGGGGTACACTTTGAAGTCAGTAGCCATCAGCTGATGGGCGCGAGCCTCACAAGTGGCCCACTGACCTGGCCAGCAGGCAGATAGGTGTCTGCTGCTACTTACAGCAGAAACTCCAAGGCAAAAGGGCTGTGCATGCAAAACGCACGAGAATTCATTCCACGAGGCAACTGCTTCGTGGGTACAGGTCAGTGGTTCTCAAGAGGCGGTGATTTTGCTCCCCATGGCTCATCTGGCAATGTCCGCAGACATTTTAGTTGTCACAACTTGGGTCTACTAGCATCTAGAGGCCAGGGATGCTGCTCAACACCCTACAAGGCACAGAACAGTCCCCCTAAAACAAAGATTGAACTGGCCCAAAATGACACTGGTACCCAGTTTGAGAAACCCTGGCCCTGCTCTGAGTAACAGCTTCAAGTCCCAGGTAACTCCTATTTCCTTATCATTTGGCCAGTCATACATGAAGCCAATACATATAACATTTCCTTCAATGTTTTGTTCTCAACCGTTTAGCATTAGCTTCAAATTGTTGTCCGACAAGCAACAAGTCATTATGCCCAAATCACAATGGGAAAAATTACCAAAGAACAGGACACCACTTAGTGATACGGAGGCCCTCCGATTTTGCTGTCCTTGGAAATATCACTTCCACACTTACTGTTTCTACTCTCACAAGACATAGCAAGATTTTCTTCACTGGACAGTTTAACAAGAGGAGGCTCTGTTAGAAAACACTAAACAGAGAGACTACGTTAGGAGTTTGTTTTCAATTAATACAGCAATGTGTGGCCACCCTCATTGGCCCTGCTGGCCCACACCTTCAGGGGCAGAACGTTGAAGGCTGATTAGAAATACACCACCAAATTAAAAATATAATTTCAAATAAATGAAAATATCCTCAAAATGAACATTTCCACCAGCAACAGAGGGGAAAGGCTCTGGATTCTACAACAAGCTCTTCATCCTTGGGCAAGTGACTTAGTCTTTGACTTAAAATGCTTCGACTAGGAAATGAAGGGGACGGATGATCACTAAAAGACAACTTCACTATTATATTAATCATTGAAATAAAATCCAACAATACCTTACACTGAACCAAGGTATAGTGTAAGGAAAAAGTTTTTCAACCAGAAAATGTGAGAGGCATCTGTCCCACGTTATCCTGAAGTTCCCCCCACTTGCACTAGGGGGCAGAGTTCTTCCCAAGGGGAGGCCACAGACCCCCTGTGGTCCAGACAGGCTTCATGGAGACCAGGATCCCAAAAAACTCAACACAAATTCTATGTCCCATCCTATCTCTCAAGGGACCCAGAATACACAAAAGCAAAATAAAGCCAATAAAAGTTAAGAACTAGTGTCCTGCAGGCACAGCCTAGGTTTTCTAACGGATAAAAGCCCACTGGTCTTTTATCATGGCTTAATCTGCAATCCTGCAAAAAGTTCTCGTGTCTTGTTGCAGGCATGAAGTTCTACGGATTAGAAAATGCTACAGTCTCACATTTACAGATTTCATTCTTTAAAAACAGGTAAAAATACATATTAATGACTGATTAATTCCTTTCCAGCCCACATCTCACAGAGAATATGGGTATCACATGTGAGATGCCACTATGAAAAAAATTGGGTATTACTATTGCACAGGAATACATTTATCACTTTGGCCATTATAAACAGTTGTCTAAGTGGGCATAACGAAAGCAGAATGACTTGAAATATTATATCCAATTAAGTCTGAAACAGCAAGTTGGGGAACACAGATGCAACCCCTCACCAATCTAATGGGCAGGAACATTCCAAAACTGTCCTGGCTTCACAAAACACCCCCTGGCTCTCAATGAAAGTCCCATCTGACTCCCTGAAGTCAACTAAGTTTACATTGAGCCACTTCAAACCTCAAACTTAAACAGAACTCATTAAATAAACACAACCAAGAAAGGAAAGGGAGCCAGGAAACTACAGTAACTCTGGACCCCAGGGGGAGAGAGAGGGGAGAGAGGGTTCTCCAGTCAGGGATTTCAAGTCACTGTGCTGTCCCACCCTCAAGGAACCTAAAAGGAGCATCAGTTTAACCTGTTTAAATAGCCATTGTTTGCCCTAAAAGATTTTCTTTACATTCAAAATCTGCCCAGGGCAGTCCGCACAGATACCTGATCTTTTGATCTCAGCATCTGGAAGGATCTCAAACCCTACTGAGCGCTTCTCGGGGAGAACTACAGGTCCCGCACCCAAGGGGCAGAAAACACGGTGAGTGATTAAACGCGCCTTTCCCGCTCACACTCCATCACAGCCGGCTCCCCTGGAAGTGTGTGCACCCCTCGCACAGGAAGCCGGCTCGTTTTGCAAAGGAAATACCAGACCTTTCTTGGAGAAAGGCACGTCCCGGTGGAACATTTTACTGGGCTTCCTGCACCCAGGTAGTCGGGCAACAGAAGTCCTGGCCAGGCCCGGGCGCCCGCCGCGGGGACCCCGGTGAGCCGGCTACCCACCCAGAAGGAAGCTCACCTTCCCTACTCCCGGGGCAAAGGGGAAGCGCGGGACCAAGCAAAACCTGCCTGGCTTACTCATCCCGAGGCTCCCCCGGGGGGTGAGGGGGTGATTTCAGGCGATTCATGGGAAGTTTCGCCCTCCACGGCTTAGGGAAAGGTACCGGGCGGGCGCCCGGCGCGGTGGGCAGACCCCTCCTCCGGGGCACCGAGGCCAGGTCCGGGCAGGAAGGGAGCCCGCGCGGGGCGGCGAGCGCACTCACCTCGGGGAAGAAGTTGTCCATTGTTCCGGCGCGTTCCCCGACTTGCCGAGTCGGGTGTCCTGCTCGAAGAAGTCAGCCCAGCGGAAGGTCCGGGGAAGGAACCATGCATGTCACGGCGCGACTCCCAGGAACTCGAGCCCTAGGGGCTCTCCCGTGGCCATCGCCTGACCCCCGGCTCGTCTTTCGCACCTTTTGTTTGCCCAGACCCAATTCTCGAACTCCTCCGTCCCCAGCGCAGCCTTTGTCTCCTCTTCCTCCAAGTTCTTCACTTCTGGGCGCAGCGCACGCGAGCGGAGAACAGCTGGTGGCACATTCTTCCCCGGGGCTAGGGAGAGCGGCGCGGGGCTGGGGAGCGCTCCCCCTCCCTCTGAGCTGGGGCCCGAGGCGCCGGGCGCCGGCACCGGGACAGCAGCCAGGGCGCGCA